ATGAAGTCTTGTTTCCCTTTCTTAACAACAGCAAACACCCCCCCCCCGGCATGATGTCGTTGCTACGAATTTGCTTGTATTTTCTGTTTATCGTGGCATATTGATCGACTTTAACATTTCCGCCTCTTTTCCAAGGTTTTTTCATTTCTTCATCCGATTGATTACGTACGTTGTTCCTGTTATCGCGTCGTAAACATTCTCGTTTTAAATTCCAACACCATATAGTATTCCCAGGTTCTTCTGATTTCAGGTGTTCCTTCGTTTCGCTTCATGCTTTATCATCAAGTGTTACGCGTTCAGCGATGAATGATGCGAACATTCCGTCGGAAAGGTTTAGCCTAGAACAACTACAATCTATCGATGTATTCCGAAGTCGTACACATCTTAGCGAAGCGCAATCAATTGATTTTGCGCAAGGTAAGCTTTTGAACCTGAAACACCTGGTTTATTGACGTTGAGTTGGCTTGTGGGGGCAGCATGGTATTTAATCCGTTTGATTTGTGAAGACCTGCAAATATCTGTGAGCAAGGCGGTTCGCTCGAATGAGTTCGCCTCTTCACAGAAATTTACAGGTCTGACTAAAATGAGGCCTATTGTTGACGATGATCTGACGAAAAGTGGCAGCGAAACTGCAAATTGCTCCCTCCATGCCGAACAGCGGCTGGTCTTCTGGGCAGTGAAACTGAAAAGAGACGCTCTAGACTTTATCACGGAGTTATGCGCCTCGGGAGTTGCCAGTCTGCAGTTTTGCGTCAACTTTTAGTGGCCTATACAAGCTTCTTCCCCCTGACGTTAGTCCCCCGCCGGAGGTCGTACTGTCTTTGAGAACATCCCGTTCACTGACGATGTCGGTTTTTTATTGTGTCAAATGCGCTGTCCCCCGCCGTCCGTGAAACTGACGGTTTTTGGGCAAATTCCTGAAAAGAAAAACAGCAGGAAACTTGGTAGGAAGCTGGGAAAATTTGGGAAGTTAGGAAAATTTCCAACCCTGCATTTCCCAACAACTTACTAATAAGGTTGTTTTTTTAGTTTCCCAAAAACCGTCAAATTCGACGGACGTGAAGGGGCGGAAAACTTCTGCCGACACCGGAACGCGCCATGTCGATGGTGTGAGGACTAACATACTAGCATGGAGGTTGTGGATGAGCACGTCTTGGCGAGGCTAAGCGTTTTCTCCACAACTGGTCATCCCCGTTACCAGTTCCAAAATTTTATGAGAATGACGTCATTATCGTATGTGTTTGCGTCACTACCTTGTGCGAACGAGGCTTTGGATCCGAAACCTTTTCGCTTGGAAGAGTTGGCAAGGAATGGCAGTGAAAATTCAATGGCGAACAGGTGGCAGCTTTTTTCGTGCGCTTGAAGAGCATACGGTCGTAAACGTTTGGTTCCGGAGAACATGGTGTCGAAGGTCGTCCCAAAAACGCGTTATGGTTCATGTTTTCCCAGCGATGACCGCCAAAAAACACTTTGCTCTCCCATGTCAGTCATGGGACTTGAGCTGTTTAAGTGTTTGTTGGTAACGGCGTAGGTAATTGCGTTCCCCGTAGCAATTAGGTGTGATTCTTTCAGTGTCGTTCGGATGAGCAAATGTGCCCCTCCTTCAGTGAGTCGACATTTGTTTGAGAATGATGACGAGCACAAACAAAACAAGCAGCGCCAAAGTGATGTGTCAGTCATGAGAAAGGTCGCTGTGGAATGTTCCAACGGGGGATGATGCGGCGCCGTTGATAAGAGGGGCGTTCTGTTCCGTTCCATCGCTCTGTCAGGTACAGACAGATTCCATCACTATCATTGAACAGTTCTCCGCAGTGAGATTGGTAGCGTCGCTTGGCTGTGTACAGTACGAACCAGGGCACGTCATGGCGTTGTAGAAAAGTGGTTGTTCAGCGTGCCAGAACACGTCCTTGGGGGAAGTTTTTACAAAATACGGCCCCTCCCCAAATTTCTGCCTTTGGTACCACACAATTGCCGGGCTTTTGCCATGCGGATGTTCTCTCGCTGCGAGGGTCCGGAAGTTTTTTTTTCACAGCATCTTGTGGCCGAGCATTCAGAGAGGAAAGTGAGGGGGGGGGGAGATTGAACAGAGGAATGAAGGAAAAAGGAAGTAGGATTAAGACCTTGGGGAGGGCAGAAATCCCGAAACACCCCAGGGTACAGCATCGTGATCTGTGAAATGCTGGTGTCAGACCATCCCCCCCCCTTCCCCACCTAAAAAGAGAGTCTCGGTACGACCCACCTCCTTTCCCAACACCTACCACTCTCCTATTAGTTCCCAGCTTCCTACAAGTTTTGTCGAGGGGGGAGGAGGTATACAGCCAATGTAAGACGGGAAAAACCACGAAAAGTCACCAACCGAAAAAATTTTTTCCCAACGCGGCAAATTTCTCTCGAAGCCCACATACGACCCCCCCCCCCTCCCAGCGACCAAGTACGACCCTCCTATGTGTTTCACACAACGATGCTGTACCCTGACACCCCTTCCCCATCCTACCTGCCATCTTAATGACGTTTCCAACTTCCTATCACATTTTCCCAGTTTCCGGAATTTTTTCTTTTTTCCAAAAAAGAGAAACCGCAGTTGGACGGACTGAGGAGGGGGAGTGGAGGTGGAAGCCATCCAACAACTACTAGAAACCGCAGAAAGTAGCAGTCATATATAGAACCTTGACTGCGCCAACTAGGAGGGAGGGGGCTTTCAAAGTGACAAACAAACACAACTTCCCTCTCCTATTGGGATTCTGCCAAGGTATGAATAGCGCGGTGAAGAACGTACGACATGCCCTGATCGCAACTCATCTTACCTTCGATCCAAACCCTTATCTTCACTTCCTCTCGCCTTATGAGTTTCGAACAGACCAATGAAAAACTTGTGGGCAAAATGTCACCAGTAGTGAATAATGGAGAATCAGGGAGCGTTTCAGGGTGGGTAGCCTCTGAGAAAGAGGAGATCGTGGAAAGGCTGTGAGATGAAAGGAGACGTCGGTGACTTATCTCGAGGAGTGATCCTGAGGGGGAGGGGTAACTCATGTAGTTAGACGATAGAAAGGATAGTGATAAGAGGATGATAAAAATGGGAAAGCATCAAGTTTCAAATTTCAAAATGCTGCATGCTGCAAGCATGCGCCTAGACTCTACCTAAACTATCTCGCGATTGTTAGCGAGATGTATGTCCTCGGATTCCATTGAATGACAGGAACGTGCATTATCGCGTTTGTGTTTATACATTTCATCGGAACTAATCCCCTTTTGCCTTCTTGTTTGCTTAGCGGTGAGTTAATTCGGCATCGTTGCGGAAGTTCCTATTGTGCAAGGTTTTATATGTAGGAAATTAGAGCAGGGATTTTTTTTTAATAACGAAGAAAGGCATATATCCGAGAATTTCTCGCAGCAAAGATCACATGGACGGAGAGAGGCGTTTAGGGAGGTAGGGGGGGGGCCGCTCACACACCCGGAAATCGAGAAAAGATAGGCAAATGAAAGCATTCTTTCAGGGGAAAATACAACCCCCTCCCCCAATCCCTTCCTCCGTGCGGGGGCGGCTTGCCTGACGCATGACTGAGCGTGCACTAAATACCTCTCGTCAGCCGGGGATCCCGCAATGCAGGAGTCCTCTAGTAGTATTCATACGCTATTTGCAGCACGCGATAGTGATGAGAAGATTCGATAATCATGTAGGTTTGCATTGCTGAAGATCATTGGAAGCTCTTTCCGGCCACCCTCCCCGAAGTCAAATTCCCATCGATAGCATGGCGTCGGTAAGTAACCACCCGGAGTCTTTCAAAATCACTAGGAAGCATACATAGTGCCACCATGAAACAAGAAAAATCCCAAGTGAGAAAGAAGAATTTCTACCATTCCAAGCGGGCCTTTGATCTTCATGAAGATTGCTATCAAGTCGATCGAAAGAGGAGCTATTTTTCTGATTCCGAGTTTCTTTGTTCGCCGGCAAGGACGTGCCGCTCAATTTAAAATGCGAGTTTACCTACAGACAGCCCTCTCTTAGCGGCAATTAGAGGACTCCCCAACGTCCGGGTTGCCTTTCCCACAGCACTCCTCTGGTCGTTTAGACTCGGCAGCAAGGGCATCGCCATGACGTGGAGATCCGGGGGGGGGGGTGCGGGCTGTGTAAGATGCTCGACCAGGATGGCAGCGGTCGTCTTTGCTCTGGGAGGGTCTTTCGGATCGTTGACTTTCCTCTTTTTTCCTTGTTTCAAATGTATATTACTCCTGCCCCCTCCCCCCCCCCCCCCACCCCACCCACTCATCCCTACGGCGATTCTTGCCGCCGCAGGTGCAGCATCGTCTGTCTGGCCAATCCCCTACAGAGGGGGGGGGGGGTCGATTTGGGTGAGAATATTATTTCAGTATTCGAATTTTTCTCAGCTTGTAAGCGGGACGTTGTAAACGCGGGGAGGGAAGGTCTCACCAACCCCGCCAAACAAAAAAAAAAGAGGGGGGGGGGCGTACGGACACGACCAAAATCCCCAACCAATGATGTGCCCTGTTCTTTGGGGGAAATGTGGGCATTTTTTCGGAAAAGCTGCTGGGAAGTGTTAGGAAGTTGGGCAAAAATTGGAAAGATGGTAGGTTGGGAGATGGGGAAGGGAGGAAATTCCAAGGGTGATGGACGTGTTTTGCAGGAATTTTTGCCCAGCGGCAGGACGGTCCTGGTGCTAGATCTCCAAAGTGGTGAATTCTATGCAGTTTTCGTGGCAATAGTGGCACGATTATGAAATTGATACTCGCTGTGAAACAAGTTCTGTGCGAGTATGGAGCGCACAAGTGACGATCCGATTAAAATGTGACGCCAATTTTCCACTGCGTTGAGTTCCCATCATCGCATCGGTTTCATGGACGTGAAAATAGAATGTGATTGTGAGTGAGTAGGCCTGCCGAATGAGGAGAATTTCAATGCGTTGCTCATCTCGTCGTCCATTGGATCGCCGCGCCTGCCTGGCCCTATTTACTCGGCACATGGTGATTCGATTCGGTAATTTATGTGGCCTGCTGAAGAAGAGCCTCATTGTCTAATGGGCTATAGTGAAGTGAAGAGAAGCTTGACTTCCCCTGTTGCTGTGGGTGCTGTTGCTGCTGCTGAGATCATAAGACTAAAAAGGATTTTGAGAGGTTTTTTATGGGGTACGGGTTGACAGAGACGAAGTTATTTTCAATGATTTTCAGAATGGGACTGGGATTTGGCAGTGGCGTTGAAGAATTTCGAACTCGAAGGCGCACGAGAAGAAATGGAGTCGATGACGCCGTCCACGTCGCACGGTTGGTTGATTTTTCAAAGGTTTCTTGTTTATTTATTTTTTATTTGTTGGGAAAATATGCGTAGTTCCTGGAACTGCTGTTCCGCTTTTCTCCACTTTTGCCCCCTCTCTGTCCACTTTTTGTTTCTGATGGGTTTTCATGCTTGCGTGGTTGCGAGGGACACAGGGCACTGAATTAGTGGTCCAACATACTCCTCTCCACCACCGCCTCAAGTACTACCCCCTGCAACTCGCCGTATTCTTTCTCGAAATGCCCGGTCTCCGAAACAAAGTAGGATTTCTGTACAAGCCATAAATACGCTCCTCACCAACCGGTGCCTACCCACTACCAATGAAAAACAAAAATTCATCCTTGATATGGTCTGACAAAGGAGGCCGGTAGGGTCGTGCCCCTTTTTCGAAACGTTTCAGTGCACTTTTGTGTAGGGCCTTGCCCATTGAACCGTAAAATTGCGGCTTTCGTTTGCTGTGCGGCCCCTGGAATGCCAAAAAAGGAGCGAAAAGAAACCTATAGAAACTGATTGTTTTTGAGCCTCTACGAGCTGTAAACCGCTTGAAACTTTGACCAGTTGCTGAATGGAGGGACCCTATAAAGGTGCTATCGGAATCGAAGAGAAAAGTAGTTGGGGTATGGGGTCTTACTTGTGGCACGTAATCAAGCGTGAACGGCTTCATGGAATGGTTTCTTCAACGATCGGAGGAACGTTCAGCATCAACGATCGGATGGCCTAGTGGATAGCGTGGAGGTATTCTCAAGCGTACAGTTGGGGTGGGGTTGATGGTTCAACTCCCCTCGGCGTGCGAGTTTTTGCATTTTTTATGTTTTGCTGTTTTCGCGTTCAAATATGTCTGTGCGTAAGTATGCATTCGATAACTGCCATTTATGGGCACATTTTAAATGGGAACACTCCATGAATCAGTGCTATTCAATTATTACAGGTTTTACATACCATTAAGCAAGACCGTAATTGAAAGTTGACCTTTATAGGTCAGACCATGCCCGAATCACATATATGGAACTTATTTGTAGCTACGGTGCCATTTATCGCTAATATGGAGTGACATGTTTCTCCCAATGGAATGCGTTTGCTACAAACATAGTAAAGGATGTTGCTAGCGCCCTACCAGGCCGCCAAAATAAAACTGGTTCGGCGGCCGAAAAAGTGTGAAAATCATGATCGGGGCCATCGATTCGCCTGGTGCCTGGTTACCCCTGTAAACAATCTTTCGGCCAAAAAATTTTTTTTCGACTTTTTTGGGTGTGTGCGTTGGGTTGTGCCCGACAGTCTTTCTATAGAAGTCTACAGTGCCTCGCCAAAGGGACCCCCTATTTTATTAATATTCAAAGATAAAAGTAACAATGCCGATGAAATACATGCAAAGAGGAAGGAAAGGGAGGCATTCCCACCAAGCGTTGCTGTCCTGCCGGCGGCCTAGCTACGTCCGCTCGTTCGCTCATCGCTTACTGAAGATGGAATACTTCGGTCACTGCGACCAAAGGAGTCCACCAAAACCCAAGAAATCGAAAAAAAATTTTTTGGCTGGAAGTCCGTCCATAAGGGTAATCGATGGTCCTGATTACGATTTTGACACTTATTTTCGAGGTCGACGCAATTTGGCGCCAGTATAGCTGCCTTTAACCGTTTCCCTCGCTATCGGAGTGCGTACATAGACGTAACTTTCACTCCTTTTTATGGCCTATTCCAGGCAGCGCACAGCCCGAAAATACCGAAGCGCATTATTTGCACGGTTTATGGCGCCAAGGTTCCTACAAAAATGCAATAAAACCGTTTTTGAGAAAAGCGGCGACCGCCCTGAACGACACTTTCTGCTTCCGTGAGTGGGAGGGTTTGGTTGAAACTGGAAGGATTTGGGGTCGTTTTGAAGATTTCTAAGATGATTCAAAACTGAGAAATGGCTCACAAATAGTGAATCAAGTTTTCACGTTTGATGTTGAATCATCGCATTTTCTAATATTGATTCTCCAACGAAACTTCGCTTTCAAAGCCTCCGGTAGGAGGGAGAGGAGAGGCCGGGGGAGGGTGGTTGGAGTGGTTTGTGCAGTGGGCGTGAGGCGTTTATTGGTTTGTGAGCGGTGAAGGCGTTATTAGAGGAGATCAGGTGTAGCGCTGAAAGCGCGAGGAAAATCGCAAGAACTTCGATAAAATGGTGGGGGGCGAGCGATCAAAATATGAATAATGGCTGTAGGGAAGCAAGTATAAAGAAGTAGGCCCATATGGCTAAAAATAGTGTGCTTACTATTCTGCAGTGACCCAGTAGCCATTTATTAGCCCTTTGACCCCCCTCCTCCTATCCTTCTTTCCTCCTCCCAACCCCTTAGTGTTCACTATTCACACGTCTATCGTTGCTTAGTACGCCTCCTACACTTGGAAAATTTTCGGACCTTAGTGCGTCATATCTTTCATCCTGCTTCCAAATCAGATGCCACCTCCCCAGCAGCCACTCCCCCTCCGCGACGCCATCATACGAAGGTTCTTTTGTAATTCTCAACGAAAGCATTTCAGATAGAGTCTCAGGACTCGGCGAGTGGGCTACGCGAAAGTTACCAACACCTGGATATGCGTTCTGCTTGCCGGACCTCTGGATGCAGGCCTTAGCGGCCAGGATTTTCGGAAATTTTCTAGAGTGAAAGGACCTGATACGAGACGCCAACGCAGGAGAAGATTGGAAGCGTCGAGTGAGTGTCGACGTTCTGCCTCTTTTGTGAGAGCTTTCAATGTGTTCATGTGAAAGTCTCATTTTCAGAGCACCTCAACTGGTGGCATCAATACGGTCAGAAGCTTTATCCCCTGTCAACTACTGGTGATGGTAATTGCCTCCTGCATGCGGCATCATTAGGTGAGAACAAAAAATATTTGAATTTTAACCATTTAGAATTATTGAAGACGATTCAGGTATGTGGGGTTTGCATGACCGTCAATTGACGCTTCGTGAAGCCCTCTATGAGATGCTGAAACGCGGCTCAAGACGTAGTGCCCTATGGCGTCGTTGGAAATGGGCCGAACATCATGCAAATCAGGTACTTTTAGCTTTTTCTTGTGATGTTGATCTCGTGTAGAGAGGGGGTCTTGCAGAGGCGGTATTGTCAGGAAATGAGGACCTCAAAAATCCAATATACGCTGCTTCGGACAGGACACGTCCTGCTGTTTGGAAAAACAATCCTGCTGAATACGGCATCCTTTCAGAATTATCTTCCCCTGCGGCTGTACGACCATACCCCCCTATCCTATCATACCTATCATGTTCACATCTTCCTAAGTTCTCCCAACTTCCCACCCTTCTTTCCCGGCAGTTTTTGCTCCAGAATCCCAAATCCGAACCTCCTCCACTTCCCTCCACTTCCCCCCAAAGTGCCGTCGAGGGAGGGGGGATTTCGTCGGTAGATGTGGGTTTACCCCTTTGCAAATTTGACAAAAGGTGGAAACCCACGCCATTCTATTTCTCTGAGGCGTCTACCCATCGAATCATCTCGCAACGCTCGTCTTTAAAGAGACAAATGGTCTGAGTAGCCGCTGCGGGGCTGATCTAATCTGCAAAAGGAAGCGTTAGTTGTCTAGGAGGTAAATTGCGGGTGGATCTCCAGAGACACCCACCAACTCATCGTCGTGCTGTGATTATAGCGCTTGTAGGGTGAAAATGTTTGAAAGCTTATGAGGTACCGCGGATTGCGGTCGTGGTGTGCTGTTGCTGCTATTTTTATCGTTGCTGTTGTTTCTATAGGGTTTTGGTGTTCCGGAATTGTACATTATCGACTTTGGCTCACGCGCCGCCCACCACGAGGGGCCCAAACTTGGCTCAGCTAAGCCCCACCCCAGTCATTCGTGACCCGTTCTCTCCTAGACCAAAGGAAATATACAGGCAGACAGACGTAGCGGCTTATATGTAGGGGAGAATGCAGCAACTCTAGTGTTGTTCCCTACGGATGCTGGATTCTGGCGAGGCACCAGTCTGTTCTCCATCAATTTTTGAAGGTTCGCGCCGCGCCGGAACCACCCCTTTCCCTCTCCCGACATGCCCCAGCATCCACAGCGAACGAAATTGTATTTTTATTCAGTCAAGATTTTCAGTAATTTTTTTAATCGCGGTCTTGTTTTTCCAGGCTAGCGGTCTTAGTTTGACCCTATCAGACGAGGAATGGATGCAAGAATGGAATGGTATAGTGGCGTTAGCGTCTCCGGTGCCCAGGTTTGTGCGTTTTCCGAAGCAGCCCATCATTTTCTTGACCTTATTATGAGTTGTCCATGTGAGCAACAACAGGGGCTAGTGCCGTTCGCCATGGGGGGGGGACCGGGTTGGAAGGAATCCACTCACAAAACTTACGGAAAACGATGAGGATTTCTATCCAAGCCTAGGGAGCGATAGGGCTCTACGTAGATAAACCAACTTGTTTGCTTACTGGGCAAAAAAAATTTCGTGCTACAGTTATCTTGATTTTGTTCATGAAGAATTGCCAGCCTCATCCCCCCCCCCCTTTCACAGCGAACAGCGCCTATATTTGTTTTTCCCCAAGC